ATGTATGATTCGCGAGCAGGGTGATTGTTTATTTATATTTGACCGCGTCGCATGTATGATTCGCGAGCGGGGTAATAGATGCATCTATGGTTCGCGCCATTCGACCCTCTGGCAGTGCACAATTTAAATATTGTTGGATCGGACCGAACGAACTCGGCATGATTTGCGCATGCTTGTAATGTTTGCCTTGAGATTTATGAATGTTGATATTCGTTCTCCCTGGCCTGAGATAAATGTATAAATGATGAAAAGGAATCTGGAAATTTCCTATGAAAGAAAGATTTATTTATTTGCTTTATTCTATTGAGTTGCAACCATGTTTATAAAATCTTTGATTTATTATATTATTGGAGTATTATTATTGGACCACTAGTAAGTGTCGAAGTCGACCACTCATCTCTACTTCTTCGAGATTAGACGGGATACTTACTGAGTACACGTTATTTTCGTACTCATGCTACACTTGCTGTGCATTTTGTTGCACAGGTACAGGTATTCCTAGCGGCCTACTGGGCGTAGCAGCATGGATGATACAGAGACTAGGTGAGCTACATTTCTCGAGGCGACCCGCAGCCAGTGTAGTCTCCTTCAGAGTATTGTGCTGTATTTTTATTCCTGTCCACTTTGTATTCCGGACAGTTACTGTATTTTATTTCATTCCCTAGTAAACGCTCATGCACTTGTGACACCGGGTTCTGGGATGACTATGGGGTATCTTGTATCAACTTCTTAACTTTTATATTTAACTGAAATGATTACCTTTTTCTAGTAAAATTGAAGGAAAATCATAGTCTTCAAAATTATTAAAATAAGAATTTAATTAAGTATTTTGGTTGGCTTGCCTGACAGCGGTGTCCGGCGCCATCACGACCCTTAGTGAATTTTGGGTCGTGAATAAAAATTGTCTGCCCCGTTCAGCTAAACCCCTAACCCTAACCAATCTGTTCCACTCCCTTAGCGGATCGGACTGAACCGGGTCAAACTGGATTGTCAGTGGGCTGGCCCGGCCCGGCCCGGCCCGTTTAACAAGTTTAAATTTTCATACTATTAGTATCTCATTGAATCCTGAGTACCCCAGTGCTCTAACCCTCCATTCCTTTAACTTTAAAAACCCAACAACAACAGTGAGTCGTCCCATAAAGCAACCCCATTTTAGGCCCCTTTTAAAAGAGCCCTACCATAATACCACAAAATCGTAGTCCTAGTTGATTTAAAGCAAGGAAACAAACAAAAAGATTGTAACTCTGAACTCCATTGTGAGGTCAATCTCCAAGATTCTTGCTGAGGCCAAAATGCAAGTAAGCTCTCATCTCCGCTTAATGTTTTTCTATTGGTTAACTTCATGAGTTTATTTTATTTGTGATTTGTGGTTTTTCTTAGCAGGGGAGCAATTATTACTTCATGAGGAGGAGCCATGTTCCAGCATTTGGTAGCTGGGACTGTAACGATGATTCCCCAATTCCATTCACACAGTGCTTTGAATCAGCTAGGCAAGCTGATTTGCTTCGTTGCAGCTACTCTGAAGACCGTGATTTATACGTCGCCGGCGATCTTTACCAGAATGATATTGTAACTCCGATCATGATCGTCGTTCCTCGTCGTAAGGTAATTACTACTCCTATTAACTAATTCTGTTAGCCTCTATTGTCCTTTACCTCCATTTTAAGACTTGTAGTAGTAATTATTAAGGAGGGAACAGCTTTTTGGTGTGTAGTTAAACAGAGAGTTGAAAACGAGGCACAACATGTGAAAGCATTAAATGTTTTTAGTTTTGCTACTTTATACGCATGTCTTCTGAAATACTCTTCATTAGTGATGAAGTTCCTCATCTTTTAAGAATTTACGCTCTTTCAATTTAATTCTAAGGCACAACAAATTTTTTTTTTATATTTAGAGTCCGTTTGGTTAAGTTGGAAAAATTATTTATTTTGAAAAGTCTTTTTGTTCAATAATGCTTTTTGAAAAAGTACTCTTGAAAATTAGTAGATTATGTTTGGTTAATTTATTTGAGAAGTACTTTTTGTAAAATTGAATAAGCAAATTGTATTTGGCTGATCTTTTCAAAAAGTACTTACTAGAAAGGACAGTAAAAGTTTGTTTACAATTAACATTATTTAAAAAGAAAATATTCAAATTTTTATTATAAAATAATTTAACTAATTTTTTATTTTTATGTAATTAGAATATAAAATATGAATATATAAAAGATATAATATTGGTAGGTTCATATATGCTTACAAGTTACGTGTATGAAAATACTATTAATTCTTGAGAAAATAATAAATTAGGTAGTATTGCATTATGTCAATTATATTATATGCATGCACGCAACAAAAGTACAAATAAATAACAAACTGGAGATCATATAATGATGATATTTTATAAAAGAAAAAATTATACTTTATGAAGAAAGTGCTTGAATCTAGTGATTAGCCTCTTTATTTACAAAGAGTAATAGGAGACCAAGAAAAAAAAAGAGAAAAGAAGAGATAAAACATATTAGAGAAATTATTCCAAATGAAATAAGAGAAGAATAATAAAAATATGGTAAAAATAGAAACGAAAAGAAAAGATGGTAGAGATTAAAAAAAAGAGTAAAGGTTGAATTAATACTGGATAATTTAGAAAATATAATTTTATGGTACGAATATTTTTATCCTGAAAACATTAATTTTCTGCTTTTGCTTCTTCTTTCTACAAGAAGTTAGAATTTTTGGCTTTTTCTAGAAGGAGCTGAAAAGTACTTTTTTATTTTGGCTAAATAATAACTCATATTTCCAAGTAAGTATTTTTTTTTTTAATTAAAAAAAAAAAAGCGTTTTGGCCTTTCTGGATCTTGGCCAAACATACTACTCATTAATAAGTTCATTTGAAGCATTTAATGACCTAGGTCTGTTGACCATGGGGATGTGATTCTTTTTGGGATAGTATTATTGCTTTTGTGTTACAGTAAACATGTTTTTATTAAACAGATGAAAGCAAGTAATGAAGCAGTTGGAAAAGCAGGAAAGGACACGTGGGTGGTGTGTGACTATGAGTATGATGTGAAAGAAGCAGCAACTCCAACTCCACCACCACCTAAAAGGGCTGTGGATGAAGATCTCTACAAGATTTCCCCTGATTTGCTCTACGCTAAGCCTAAAAGGGTATGCCATTCTTCTCCTTAGTCACTTTTTTAATTTGTTTTATCATTGCTTTTTAATCACTTTTTCCCCCCATCACGTCCCATAGTTAGAGGGTACTTGACCTACAAAGTGAAAATGATCGCCTTATTTACTTTTCTTGTTCACACAAACTGAATCTTTTTCTTCTTTTCACTTTCAAAGTTTTAATAAATAGAATTTAGCCCCATTTGAATAGTAAATTCTGCCGCTAGTAATTTGTAGTCTTTTAGCTTTCTTTTGTGTGTGTACGAAATACAGATAAATATAATTCTTGTTATACGCAAATTTTGGTTCCGACATTACAATCAGGTTGCAGTACGCATGAAAGATCCAAAAGAACTATGCAGTAGCAATTATTGTCGTCATTTTATAAAGAACAAAAAAAAAAAGTTTGAGTGTCCTAAATCTAGTTAACTCCATTGTCTAAGAATATGTTACTACTTATCATATATAACAATTTTTAGTATATGATACCTTCAGTTTCTTTTGCTAACCTTTTTCTTTTTATGTTGTTTTCCTAACTCTTTGTAGATAGGCATTAGGGGTTTCTTTTCAAGCTGCTTACTGCCTATTTGTGCTTCTTGATTCTGAAGAAGCTTGCAAACAAGAGAAATTCAGAACATATAGGGCTTACTGGAAGGGTAGCTAGTTTCATTGTCTATACTATAAAATTAGTATATAGAGGTATTTTCTTGGGGATTTTTAAGCAGTAGTAGAAAGTGGCCCAAAAACAGATAGAATGTTGGCAAGCCCAAGAAGATAAATATCCATCATTATATTATGATGATCACTGAGAAGCCTTCTTTTGTCTCTACTCTATTTGCTAATTAAGTAGTATATATGTTTCTTTTTGGAAGTATTTGGATGTCCTACTCCAACTGAATTAGCGTTTCGCTTCTGTAACTTGAAAATATCAAAGAAGGGGTAGTATTGGAATAGGGATTAAAAGGCTAAGATTACTTTATGAGAAAAGTATTCTTCCCTCTGCCTTTTCTTTTTTTATTCTTCTATGCTTTTCTTTTCTGCAGAGACCTTAATTGACAAAACTAAAATCTGCTCAAATGTGTTATTCATTCTTCTAATTCCTACTACTAATGCAATATTGCTCACAAAATCTTACCTTATCAAAAAAAAAAAAAAAAACTCGAATATTGCTCACTAATTAAATTTTCAAAGAAAGGTTACCTCCTTCAACATATCATCGAAATCATGCGCTATTGTAAATTGCATCAATTAAGTTCTGGTAATTTACTAGTTGTCGAGAAGTGTTTCTAAATTGGAAAAACCAAAAGGGGGGAGAGAGAAATAGAGGGGCTTGCATGGAAAAGCAACTCAAACTTCTGGCGAGTATGGTCAACGACTCAACGTACAAAATTCGTAAGCACGGGCTTAAAGAACAAAGCCTAAGCCATATTATCGTCTTTTGCTAAAGTTTTTCCTTTCTGATATGTTTTTTTTTCTTTCGCTAAAAGAGGAATGAAGGGTATTAGAAGGAAATAATTAAAGGTGATATGAGTTAAAGCATTGAACGAGTTGAAATGCGGAAATGCTGAAAGGAGAAGTAAATTAAAGTGCATGGAATAAATAGTCTCTATATAGTCGACATGGATGCGCCTTTTGGTGAGAGGAAATGCTTTCTGGTCAACACGAATGCGCCTTTTCTTAGACGAGTTCCATGTAGCATACATTATATAAATTCTCAATCTTTATTGTTCACTGGATAGACCAGTGGGGAAGCCACATGGTCATGAGGTGGTCAGTTGACCATCATTTGTCGAAAAATTATATTGTATATATACGTATAATACAACATTTTAGAGGTATATAATATATATTAAACACCCTTTGCCGGAAAAGTTATTTTCACTTCTTTCAAATTTGAATACCTTTGGGGAAATTTTTAGCTTCGTCACTGGGCTAGACAACCAGCACTTGACCGTCAAGTTGTGCCAATATTCAGCTCATCACTTTGGACCTGTGGCTGAATCAAAATTTTCCCGAAAAGTGTATTTTCGCAAGAACGTAAAGTTTTAGTTAGCTATAACTATTACAAATAGTTGACTCACTATTTGCAAAATATTTGAAAACGCAAGAAACATCCAATTCATGGATCTTGCTTGTTTTAACAGCGCGCATAATTACTTTATAGATCTGTTAAACTACGACAAAAGCTGAATTTTAAGGCTCTAAAGAAAGCATGTGGGAGGACCATTAAAAAGGGTGAAGTCTCTTGAATTTTCGTCCCCGTTTGCTTTATTAGTATAACTTTAAACTTAATAAGTGTTGTCCCCTCGCTTGTCCCATGGGTAACAATTTTAACTTTTGACCTTAAAGTTCTGCCCATGAGGCAAGTGAGGGTCAAAAGTTAAGAATCACCCTACTAAGTGTTAACTGCTCGAGATAGAAGCTAGCTCAAGCTTTTGCTTGTGCAGCTATGGAGGTTACTGTGGAGGGAGAGAGAGAAGATTCTAGAAGAAGAAGAAACAGAAATTGGAAAATGAACCTCAAACTCTATTAACAACCGGAAAACAATGTATATGCATATCCTAATTAATCAACTAAAAGTTGAATGTCTAGACTAGCCACTTTACATCTAACTAACCACTTTACAATATACTAGCCACTTTACATCTAACTAACCATTTTACAATATACTAGCCACTTTACATAATTAAACAATAATCTCAATACCCCCCCCCCCCTCCTCAAGTTGGTGGTGTGGAAAACACTGCCAACTTATACAAAGCTGCTGAATGCTTGACTCCTGTTAGGGCCTTTGTTAGAACATCTGCAAGTTGATTTGTCGTTCCTACATGATGCAATGAAATCAGACCCTCCTGCAGCTTGCTTCTTACAAAATGACAATCAACCTCTATATATTTGGTTCTCTCATGGAATACAGGATTCCTGGCTATATGCATGGCTGATTGGCTATCACAAAACACAGCAATAGGCTTGGGAAAAGGTGCTGTAAGTTCTTCAAACAATCGACTGAGCCACACCAGCTCTCCTACTACCTTTCTTAAAGCTCTGTATTCTGCTTCTGCAGAGGAGAGGGAGATAGAGTCCTGCTTTTTGGATTTTCAACTGATTGGACTGCTCCCCATCAACACAAGGTAACCACTTACAGATCTTCTGGAATCTGGGCATGCTGCCCAGTCTGAATCACAATATGCCCTGATTGTATAATCTTGATCTTTAGATAGGAATATGCCTAAGGTGGGGTCCTTCTTCAAGTATCTGAGCAGATGGAAGGCTGCTGTTAGGTGAGGTTTTCTGGGGTCATCCATGAATTGACTTAGGTGCTACACACTGTAAGCTATATCCAATCTGGTATTGGTGAGGAAGTTGAACTTTCCTATCAGCTTTCTGTAATAAGTGGGATCTGTCAACCTTTCACCTTCCTTGGCTTTAAGTTTTACAGTAGGGTCCAACGGAGAATTGAAGCTGCTGTAATCCATACATTGGTACTCTTTCAACAAGTCAAGAGTGAACTTTCTCTGGGAAACTATTACACCATCATCTTTGTAGAGAACTTCCAATCCTAATAAGTAATGCAGTCTGCCCAAATCCTTTATTTTGAAACTATTGTTCAAGAACGTTCTTAAATCTGTGATTTCTACAATATCAGTCCCTGTGACTACAATATCATCAACATACACTGCCATGTAAATAGTGGACTGTTCAGTTTTCTTGTAAAATAAGGAGTAGTCATACATTGAATGTGCATAGCCCCTTGAGCATAGTGCTTTAGTTAGTTTAGCATACCATTGTCTACTTGCCTGCTTGAGGCCATATAGAGACTTGTTAAGTTTGCAAACTAAGCTTGGGTTGTCAATTGCCAAACCCTGTGGGACTTCCATGTACACTTCTTCATTCAGATCCCCATGTAGGAATGCATTATTTACATCTAGTTGTGACATGTACCACCCTTTCTTCACAGCCATGGCTATTAAAGACCTCATAGTTATTATCTTAACTACTGGGGAGAAAGTTTCTGTGTAGTCAATTCCAGCTTGTTGGGTGTATCCCTTTACAACTAGCCTGGCTTCGAGTCTCTCTACACTACCATCTGCCTTGTATTTTATTTTATATACCCACTTACACCCTATGGCTTTCTTCCCAGCAGGTAAGGGAACTAAGTCCCAAGTGTGATTGGCATGTAATGCCTCAAATTCTTGGGTCATAGCTGTTTGCCAAGCAGGATTCACAGCTGCCTCCTCATAAGATGAGGGCTCACTGTCACTGCAGATATCTCTCACAAGACTTTGACTTTCAAGATTCAGGACATCAGGGGTGATATGGTGGCTATTGGAAAATAGTGCATTAAGAGAGAAAGGTGCAACAGAGCTAGTGTAGGCAACAGATGGTCCAGTAGAGTTAGTGTAGGCAACAGATGATGTTGGTTTTAGTGTAGGGAGTGAATGTAAGTAGTCTTGTAAATATGCAGGTGTCTTATGTGGTCTTTGTGATTTTCTTTGAATAACAGGAGTATTGACAGGCTGGTGGATTGTTGATGATGAAGTATGATCTGAAGGTTGAAGTATGTCAGACTATGGCAAAGGACAGGGTGGATTCTCAGAACTAGTGTGTGGACTCTCAGAACTAGTGTTTGGTTCAAGATGCTGGGATTGGTTGTGTATGACACTAGGGCCATTATCACTTTCATAAGCAAAGTCAGTACCTTCTTGAATTTTATCAATGAATGGAACAGTAGTGAATAGAAGGAAAAGAAGAATTATCAGGACATAGAGCAAAGGGAAACATATTTTCAATAAAAATAACATCCCTAGAGACAGATATCCTTTTAGTGGCAAGACTCAAGACCTTGTACCCTTTGACTCCATAGGGATAACCAATGAATATATGTGGAGATGTTCTAGGTTCAAACTTGTCTCTGTGCACTTTTGGTACAGATGGGTAACAGAGGCACCCAAAACTTCTCATATGAGAGTATGTTGGTCTTTTGTTATGAAGTAGTTCAAAGGGAGATTTAGGGTGGCTATGGGAAGAGGGTAATCTATTTATGATATATGTTGCACATAAAATACATTCACCCCAGTATCTTACAGGTAATTTTGATTGGAATAGGAGTGCCCTGGCAGTTTCTAGGAGATATTTGTGTTTTCTTTCCACTATGCCATTCTGCTGGGGTGTATAAGGGCAAGTCCTTTGATGGATGATGCCTTTGGATTAGAAAAACATATTTGCTTCTATACTGGTGAACTCTGATCCATTGTCAGATCTGATTGTTTTGATTTTTGTGTTAAACTGGGTTTCAACCATAGAAATAAATATTTTCAAGACTTGTAATGCATTGCTTTTCTATGAAAGAAGGTTGGTCCAAGTAGACCTACTATAATCATCAACCAATGTAAGGAAGTATTTGTAGTTATCATGGGTTGTCATATAGTAAGGTCCCCATATGTCTATGTGCAGAACTTGGAAGATTTTTGTGGAAAAGTTTATTTTCTGGGGAAATGGAAGTCTTCCTTTCCTGGCCATTGGACAAATAGAACAAAGAAAGGGCTGCTTTGGAGAAAAGAAAATTGGGATAGAGGTAATCCCTCTCATTTTGACAAAGGGTACATGCCCAAGTCTATTGTGCCACAAAACATTGACATCATTGCTATATGATACACAGGAATTCAAACTAACATTTGTATTATTCAAACATGGAACATTTACATGTGAAGGAAGAGATACACACTTATTTGTAGACAATGAACTATGTACAGATGAATCAATGTGACAATGTGAGTTGTGTGTGCAATGAGCCTTTCCATCAAGGCAAGAAAGAGAATTACTAATAGAAGAACCTGAATACTTGTTTCTCAGACATTTTGGGCAAAGAAGATATAGCCCATCACAAGCTTTACCAATCTCCAGAGGCCTCTTCATTGAAGGGGCCTGCAGAACACAAAGGTTATTAGTGAAAGCCACTAGGCTTCTAGGATTCACAATGGTCAGACCATGAATAGAAATGA